GGCCCCGTGCGCTCCGAGCGCGCCGCAGCCGCAGGAGCCCGCGGAGGCGGGGGGCCGCCTGGCGGGAGCCCCCATCGCCGGCTTGGAGCGGCCCCTAATGGGGTCCCCAGGCGGTGGGACAGACGTCGCAGCCACCGGGAGCAGTGCGCCCCGAGTGCGTTCCCAGGGGAGGGGCGGGGGAAGGGCGCGCACCCACAACCGAGGAGAGGCCAGGGCTGCGGAGTGTGGGCGCCCGGAACGCCGGTAGTTCTCGAGTTTGCGCTGATGGGGGTGTTGGGGAGCAAGGGAGCCGGCCCCCAGCCCCTCGCTAGGCATGGATCTGGCCCTGTCCCCCTCCACTTCCACCGCCAGGGCGGCCAGCCTTGCCCTGCCTCCCCCGTGACCCTGTCCTGAGCGTGACGGAGTCCCCTCCCGTTCCCAGGCTCGGATGCAGCTCCACCGCCTTCCCCAGCACCCCCTTTCCCGTTCCCCAAAACCAGCTGTCCCACTGGCTCCGGAACAGTACTAGGAGTGGCGATAAGTGACCTCTTCCCACCACCCCTCCCCGGTTCAGCCCGCCAGTGGACCTGGAAAATTTAGACGAGTTTGTGGGTCTGTCACCCCTGGCCCCCCCCACCCCCGGAGGCCGGGCGAGGCCGGGAGGGGCCGGCGCGTTAGCAGGTTCCTTCTGAGGTTTCCGCCCCTGCAGCTGCCCTCGCCGCGCTCAGACGCAGGGACGCGCCACAGCCTCCTCCGCCCGCACAGCCCACGTCCTTGGCAGCCCCCTAAAGGGGTGCTCCCCTCCTCCCAGCGCCATTGGTGCTTGGACACCCCAGGATTTCAAGCAGGGGAGGTACTTGGGGGACATCTGCAGCCCTGGGGTTAGCAGGACTTGGCCACAGGTTCTGGACGAGAAAGACTCTGGTCCCTGCCACCTAGCTGCCACAGCCCTCAAAGCCATCAGGGAGGGCGCAGCCAGGTCCCTACATTCAGACGTTTGCGGGACCCCACCGCCAGCTTCCTCCCAGCGAAATCACTTCTGAAACGAGGTGCCTTTATCCACCTCCTCTGGCCCCTTTGCAGCTGGGGGTTCCCAGATCCCCTCCTGGGGTGCACGCTCTGAGTACATGTGTCCCCGGAGCTGGGCTAAGAGTCAGCAGAACCCAGGCCCCACCTTCTAGTTCTGAGGGACTGGCCTGGAGGCTAATGGGGTCCGGCCACACAGTCAGGGGACGGAGCTGCAGCCCCGCCAAGTTCGCTCCTCAGGCCCCGTGCAGCTCTGAAGTTTCTGGGGGCCTGCCGCCACCGCTGCCGCCGGGAGAACCATCAGGCATTCTTCTCGGCCTGTGTCTCCTCCCCCTGCTCCCCAAGGTTCCCCAGCACCCAGGGGCCACCCGGCCCAGGCACCCCCTGTGGGACGCACTGGGCAGGGGACGTGGCTCCCCAGTCTGGAGCCCAAAGACAGCAGGACTCTGGAGTCCTGCCCAGTGGGGAGAGCAGAGGGTGCTGCCTTCGCCAAGGGAGCCCCCACCCCAGGAAGGGGGGTGTTCTGGGACCCGGTGTGGGAGAGGCCGCCTGCCTCTCTCCCTGGTTTGTTGGCAGAGGGCGGCCTCTCGTGGCCTTCGGGGGAATGACACCTCAGCCTGATCCAGAGGTGCAGGAAGGCTGCCAGACTAGCCAGGATTGATGGGGTGAGGGGGACTCCTTTCCAACCCCCTGTAGACCGCCTTGGGGGCCCAGGGACTGGACACTCAGGTCTGCGGCCACCAGCGAGGAGAAGGGCCCCTTTGTAAGGGTGACCCAGCTTCAGCCAGACAGAGCTGAGCCCAGTGGGTCGTGAGCAGTGGCTGGCCCCCGGGAGGGGCTGGCCCGGCCCAGCCCCGCTCAGCTCCAGCTGGGGAACAAAGCGCCGGATTGAGGCCTGCTGCGCCTGCCTAGTGCTGGGCTTTCAGGCCCAGTGGAGGAGACAAAAGACGGAGCATGCGGTGTCCCCTGGGGCTGTGGCCAGGACTTTCCTTATTTTATTTCTGAGTAGGTGAGGTCCGGAGCCAAAGGTTCCGGTGTCCACAGGGGCCAGCAGGGGAAGCACAGTCTCCCTCCTCCCGTTTCCCGAGGGTCCTTCCAGAGCAGTCTGGGCACATGAAGGGACATGGGGACCTCAGCCCCTCGTCACATTACGGATGGAGGCCCGCTGCCCCCGCAGTCTGTCCTGGAACAGTCCATGTCGGGGCGTCTCTGTCCGCCCCTCATATCTCACTGCACAGTGTCACATCCTTTAGCCGGGCAGCACGGCCGTGCGGGCCGCTCCTGCTGTTCCACTGTGGCCAGAAGCACAGCCAGAAGCTCCCGGTCACGGCGGCGTGGTGTGCGTGGGCGAGGATCCAGGCTGTGCGGGAGGCCCAGGGGACAGGCCCGACTTGAACACTGCACAACGGCTGACCCCCTCCTCGCCCCCCACCCCCCACGCAGTGTGCTGGCTGGCGGGACATTGCTCTCTGACACCACATGGTGACAGCGGTTTGTGGCTGAGCCTGAGTGAGGGTGGCCGGCGTGAGAGCACCCTCAGAGGCCCAGGAGGCGCCGGGCTGGGCTGGGCTGGGCTGGGCAGGGCAGGGCAGGGCGGTGATGGCGGGTGGGAGCCAGGACGTCCCCAGGAGCACAGGTGAGCACCTTGTCCTCCTCCTGGGGAATAGGGA